TTGTTGGATATTCCCAGCTCTTCTTCAAGTTAGCCCAGTGGCACATGATACAACTCTGGTAGAACTTAAGATCTTATTCTTTGAGAAGATCCCAGACTTCTCAAAGTCCACCAACGCTGAGAACCAGAAACAGCTTTCTTTCTAAAAAAGAGGTGTGTGTTCACAAGACAACAAAAGACAAATCCAGTTCTGGAGCCCTTGGGGGATTTGGCAACCGAAAACCAATATATTGCAGAAACATTTATTTTGTAAGTAATGATATTCTCAGAGCTCCGTGTTTGTTGTTTAACACTGCTATCATTTATCGAAGACTAATAGGCAATAAGCAGAGCCCCTTGTCCTTACTCTGGCATCTGTCACTGTTTGTGGATTAGGTCCATTCGTCTCCCTTTGAAAGCTTTTGGGACATTGCAGCTGATACCCAGCCGAAGAAGAGACACAAAAAGCATTATCTGCCACTCAGGTGAAGATGAAGAAGTGAACTTGTAAAAAGGTGCACTTTTGCAACCACAAGGAAGCACTAAAATGGCACTAAAATGTAAGTATGACCGTGGCCTAATTAATATTCCTGGCTACCTGGTAGTATGGCTCACCTCTTTATTCCAAATAGAGTCCATAGTCTCTAGTGTTCCGTAAGAGACTACAGAACTCCCATGGTTGAGGCTGCTTTAAGTGAAACAAAAGCTCAGACACTTAAGAAGGTCAAAGAGGGACCAGCAGTTGGCGTAATGGCTATGTCACTGGACTTCCATGTAGTCGACCACAGTTCGGGTCCGGACCTAGTGGCTTAAACTCACGCCAGGCGCATGTGCATGCGTGCCCAAGATCCATAGAGGAGAATGGAGGAGAAGGGATTGCGGCATGGCCATCCCCCCTGGGAGGGTGATTTCTAGCTTTCTATCCCTCTGTCTCTCTCTTCTGGCGAGTGCACATGGCCTATGGCAAACCCCTCCCCCCCCAAAAAAAAAATGAAGGTCAAAGACAGGCCAGAATAAGGAATGAGAAATTTTAAGTACTGGAAGTGTATGAAAAAAGGAAGATGGCCCATGAGAAATATATCACAGAGAGACAACTTGAGAAATATATCACAAAGGTTTCGAGTTAAAACCCTCAAAACTGTTGTTACTGGGGCCAGCAAGTGGCATGGTGGTTAAGGTGCTGAACTCCTATGTGAACGACCATAGTTCAAGGCTTAAAAATCATGCTGACTACATGTATGTGCATGTCCAAAATCCCAGGAGAAGAGTAGAAGAGAAGGGATTGCAGTATGGCCATACCCCTGAGGTGTGATTTCTCATTTTTCCCTCTCACTGTCTGTCTCTCTCCTGCAAGCACAGACTCCCTATGGCAGAAACCTAAAAGAAAAAAAGAAAAATGTTATTGCTGTTGTTTATCACTTAAGGAGAAAAGTATTCATGTTTTCCTCCTTTTAAAAAAAAAAAACAGGGACTAGCAGTTAGCATAATGGTTATGTCACTGGACTCCCACGTAGTCAACTGCGGTTCGAGTCCTGGACCCGGTGGCTTAAACTCACGCCAGGCGCGGAAAGGAAAGGAAAGGAAAGGAAAGGAAAGGAAAGGAAAGGAAAGGAAAGGAAAGGAAAGGAAAGGAAAGGAAAGGAAAGGAAAAAAAGAAAAGAAAAGAGAAAAGAAAAGAAAAGAAAAGAAAAGAAAAGAAAAGAAAAGAAAAGAAAAGAAAAGAAAAGAAAAGAAAAGAAAAGAAAAGAAAAGAAAAGAAAAGAAAAGAAAAGAAAAGAAAAGAAAAGAAAAGAAAAGAAAAGAAAAGAAAAGAAAAGAAAAGAAAAGAAAAGAAAAGAAAAGAAAAGAAAAGAAAAGAAAAGAAAAGAAAAGAAAAAAGAAAAACATGTGCTATATGGCACATGTACTTGCCAGATACAGAGAGAGAGGGAAAGTGAGAAAGCATCCCCTAAAGAGTTGGCCATGCCATAGTTTTTTCTCCATTTTCCTCTTGGGATTTCAGGCATGTGCACAAATGCACCTAGCATGTTCTTCAAGCTGCCGGTTCAGGACTTAAACCGTGATGCTGGTCACGTAAAAAACTCAGCCACCTTATGCTGCCAGCTGGAACCTCTTTTCTAACCTGAGCCTGTAGATATATTTAAGTTATCAAAGCGCTGCATTCCACTCCATTTGCAGCTAGCACATGCATGCTCGAGAGTCCAGTTTAACTTCTAAATGAATTCCTAAACGTTAATCTCCCAATTGAGAAGACAACTCTCAATCTGTGAAGTTCTACATTTTCTTTGCTAAAACTGAGTTCTGCCTGTAATCATCTTCACCAACAAAACACATTTTCGGGGTGAGCATGACCGAGTGTTGTGAACACGGGAGAGAGAACACGGGTCAGGAACTGGGCTCACTTGTCCCAGCAATGTTACTATGTGGTGTATAATTTTTTTTTTCATTTTTCTTTCTTCTTTCTTTCTCTTTATTCATTCCTCCTTTCCTTCCCTTTCTTTTTTTTTTTATGATTTGCCAGAGGGCATGTGCACCCTTTGGAGAGAGACACAGAGAATTGGAAAGGGAGAAAACGCCCCCCACTGCCCTGTGGCATGGCCACGCCTCCATCTTTCTTCCATTTCTCCTTTCTGTTGAGAGTTTGGGCATGCGCACACGTGCCCTGTGTGTTTTTCAAGTTGTAGGTCTGGGATATGAACCATGCTGTTGACCAGGTGGGATCCAGTTGCCTTAACCGCCACACCAAAAGCTTAATTTGGGGAAAGGCCCTATTGGCTCTTGTTGGCAAAATAGGCATGTTGGACTAGAATCCTGTTAATATTGAAGTTCACTTTCAGTTTTAGATTTCTAGAATTGTAGAGAAATGGTGGCAAATTAAAATAGGATTGATTTTTTAAAAATAATTGTTGATTTTTAATTCTTCTCATTTACTTATTTATTTATTTTAATTTGACCAGAGAGAGACACAGAGAGAAAGAGAATGTGAGAAAGCAAGCCACCAGGTCCAGGACCCAAACCATGGTCAGTCATGAGGGAGTGTCCAGCATCTTAACCACCATGCCACCTGCTGGTCCCCAAAATAGGATTGTTTTTTTTTTTTAAAAGTTTTCCATTAGAAAGAGAGAGAGAAAAGAGGGAGAGAGGGACACCCGCAACAGGGTTTCCACACTGTGATCTACCCCAGACTCAGCCAGCCTGAATCAGGGGCACCTGTGTGCACACCAGGCACGTACAAGGGAATCTCAGGATGTGAACCTGGAACCTTCCTCCATGGCTTCAGCCTCGCAGAGCACTGTGTTACCATCCTACCACCACAACTGGCCTAGAACTGGTTTTCCAACCAGTGGATTGTGTTCAGAATTCATAGAAGCATGTGAATAACTTTCACCCCGAAATGAATGACTAGATCAGGAACTAGTCTTTCTAGTTCACTAGCCCTAATGCTTCACTTTACCCCATTTCTGCCCACCTCACTAGACCCTTTCTCATTGTTTTCCCTCTCTATTATTTTAAATTGTCCTCATTCTCCAACTTTACTTATTTCTCTTAGCTCTGTGTATCTGTCTGCCAAATCTGTCTTCTATGGTTATGCCCTTGCTTTTTGTTGATTTCACTACATGCATTTTTTCCTATATTCTGGAAAGGAACAAAAACGATGTCAGGCCATTCTCTGCCTATCTAAGGACTTCACTTCCTAGATGTAGGTGCTCAGTTCCATTGAGATTCTAGATGAATAATCTATATGTAGAAAATAAAACACTCAAAATAATAGTGATAAACCAGAAAGAAGTTGGTTTCTCTGTTATATGCAGTTCTTAATATCCTGGGGGATTGATTTCCCTGACTCCTGCTCCCCAAGAAATCCTTTAGAGAAATAGCTAGTATTTGCATGTAACCTACACACATATAACTATATACATAAGGTAAATAAAATTATATATATATATTAATATATAGACTTTCTATATCCATTTATTTATTTCTTTGGCACCTTTTAGAGCTTTATGTTGAATTTTCAAGAAAGTGCTGCTTGTTTGGGGTTGGTGCAGGAAAATACCAGCTGTGGGATTTAATCATAAAGTTCTGCAATACCTGAGCAAAAAGCATGCAAGCCGCACCCTCGAGTAGGCAGATCCGGGGAGTTATCCTGAGGTAGGGAGGACTGGACAGAATGCAGTGTCAGAGCTGTTTCTCACCTGCATGGTCTATTACATGGAAGGAGGGAGCAGGAAACTTTTCTACAAAAGCAAACCCCTATAATGGGTCAGATAATACATATTTTGGTTTTGTCAGATGATAAGCTCTTGTTGCAAATGCTCTCCTATTGTAGTGAAAACAGCCATAGACAATACTAAACAACGGGCATGGCTGTGGTCACATTTCAGTCAAACTTTATTTATAAAAAGAGGATTGGCCTTGAGGCCTTTAGTTTGCCCACCCTGGTACAGGACAAAGATCATCAGGCTAGTAATTAGGAGATGTGGATTTAAAAGTTCCTCTTTGATAAGATGTACAAATTCGGGGCCAGCCCTTGGTCTGGTGGTTAACGGAACCAGATCCGACATGGCTGATTATCCATCCCCAGCAGCTTAAAAAACGCTGGGTGTGTGTGTGCATGTTCAAATCCCAGCAAGATGGAGAATTGGAGAAGGGATTAGGCTGCAACTATGTCCTTTGGAGGGAGGGTTGGTTTCTCCTTCTTCCTTCCTCTCTCTGGGGGCACTCACACCCTCTGGCAAATAAAATAGTGTATTTTTTAAAAAAAGTTTACAGATTGGGAAATACCACTGGGCCAGTGGCTCAAGTCCCTTTGGTAGAGGGACTGATGACTGGAACAGTCCCTGCAGAAGGAGAGGAGTAAAGTGGTTCTTCTCTTGGAGAATGGCAGTGGCAACTGTTTCTACCTAATTGTTACAGAATTTCAATCCTAGTATCCAGAGTCATTCTGTGGTCAGGAGCCAGCCAGACAATCAATGCTAGGAGACCCAGAGTACTTGAAAACACCACGTATAGATGACAGACCTGGTATGACTCCGAGGTGGCTTCAAATGTAGCTTCTGCTTTTTCTCTCATCCAAAGATGCACGAATTTGATTTACCAAGATGAGTATTTACAACAGCAGTCTTCTAGCCTTCATTTTCTATTTAATCCTCTATCATCAACGATTTACTTCTACTGTACACGGGTTTAAGAGACTGTAGGAATTAAAAACAATCAAGTAGGCATTAGTCACAGTTAGAAATTCACTTTATTTTAGCACTCTTTAGGTCTTTTTGGAAATGTATAACACATTATTTAAGATTAGGCTTGTTGGGGGGCCAGCAGGGGGTGTGATGGTTAAGGGTGCTGGACTCCTACATGGCCAACCACAGTTCAAGTCCTGGACCTGGCAACTTGCTTTCTCACTTTCTTACTTTCCCTCTGTCTACCTCTCTCTGTCCTTCTCTGACCAAATTAAAATAAATAGATAAAGTCAAACTTTTAAAAATTCTTAAAAAAAAAAAAAGATTAAGTTTGTAATAGACAACTCACAAAAATAGTGAAAAATAAGATAGAAATTTGTTTCTCTCTCTCTTTTTTTTGAGAGGTTTTTGTTATAGGGTGCATGCACTCAACAGAAAGACAGAGACAGAGAGATAGAGAGACAGCGAGAAGTCACTCCCCAGGGGAGATGGCCACACCGCAATCCCGTCTCCTCCACTCTCCTCTCAGGATCTTGGGCACGCATGCACACGTGCCTGGCATGAATTTAAGCCACTGGGTCCAGGACTTATACCATGGTCAACTATGTGGGAGTCCAGCGACATAGCCATTATGCCAACTGCTGGTCCCAGAGGTTTATTTCTCTTATATACAGTTGTTCTCATATCCTTGGGAGGTTGGTTACTCCTAACCCTACTCCCCAATACCAAAATCTCCAGACGTTTAAGTCCCTAATATAAATGGCATGGTATTTGCATATACCTTACATACGTCTTCCTGTGTACTTTAAGTCCTTGCTAGATTACTTGTAATATTAGTCACTTCTAATTACTTACATATATTGTGGGGAAGTCATGATGTATTCTTCTATGCAAAAATGTGTCATGACTTTCCCGGCAACCCAGTATTAATACAATACGAAGGCTATGTAAATAGTTGTTATATCGTATTGTTTAGGGAACAATGGCAAGAAAAGAAAGGCCGTCCATGTTCGGTACAGATACAACCATCAGAGGCCCAACTACATGGTACATGTCAGCAAGGAGGGATCGTTTTTCATCCAAGCCTGGTTAAGTTTGCAGATGTGGAACCCGAGGACACAGAGGGCCAACTGTGCTCATAATCTGGCAGTGGGTGGTCTGCTCTCATCTTGCTGGGCTGCCAGTCTTGGCAGATGGCTGCAGACAATCCAGCCTTTTCATCTGCATCCCAGCCAGCAAGAAGCAAGGAATCACGAGGTGCCTGTGCCCTTCCTGTAAGGAACTCCCCAGAAACCAGGCGCTGTCAGGTTTCTGTTGCTGGAACTTAGATGCATACCTAGTCACTGTCTTCAAAGGAAGCTCTCATCTTTATTTAATAGCTACATGTCCAGCTAGAATCAGGGGTTTTAACACAAAGGAAATAGGCGAGAGTGGACAATGGGAGACTGCCAGGGATCTCCACCACCCACTCTAATGACACAGCCCTTAGATCCGTCAGCCCCGTCTATTCTTTTGAAATGTGCGGCCTTTGGGAACTGCATGAACCTAGCCTGCTGTGTACAGGTCTCTAAATCAGAGATGTAAGGCTCTGAAAGTTTTCTTCTACATCTTATTCTTTCTTTTTTTTTTTTTTCTTTGTTTTCATTTTTGTTTTGTTTTGTTTGAGAGATTTTTGCTATAGGGTGCATGCGCTTGCCAGAAAGACAGAGAAAGACAGAGAGACAGAAGTGAGAAATCACCCCCTGGGGGGATGGCCACGCCTCAATCCCTTCTCCTCCAGTGCCCTCTCGGGATCTTGGGCACGCACACACACGTGCCCAGCATGAGTCTAAGCCACTGAGTTTGGGACTAGAACAGTGATCTACTACATGGGAGTACAACGACATAGCCATTACTCCAACTGCTGGTCCCTAGATCTTTATTCTTTCTTAAGGTGGAATTATAACCCCAGTTGACATCCACCTCAGAGGACACTCAAGAGATATAGTAGTTATATATAATTTTTCTAGCAGATAATACTATCTCTCAGGAACAGGAAGCAGATAATTACTCTATAAACAACCTCGGGCTGCCTGAGAAGAATGCTGGCAGCTACCTTTTATCTGAAAATCAACATCACATGGGTATTTTTTTAATTGCCAAAATATATGTGCACTCACCAGACAGAGAGACATACAGCAAGAGAGAGAGAGAGAAAGAGGCAAAAAGCAACCTCCAGTGGAATCTTGTCATGCCACAGTTTCTTCTCCTCCATTTCTTTATCCTGTTGGAATTTGGGGCATGCATGACATGCTCTTGGTGTGTTTTTCAAGCCACAGGGGCCAGGACTCGAGCCATGGTTAGCCATGTGGGACCCGACTCCCCTAACCACTAGACTACAGGGCTGGCCCCACACGATAATTATTATACATTCCTTTTGTTCTGATACCGTAAGGTAGGTACATATTTCATTGATTTAAAATAGCAAAACCTATATTGTTCGTGCTATTTCACACACACGCAGGAGCATGCTCACTTTTGAAACTTCTCTTTGGAGCCCAGTCACCCTTCATTACCGGTGCCTTTGTGTTTTAGCTTAGCTCATTTTCCCAAGTGCTTCTGTAATACGGTTATGCAGAGTATGAACCTCCTTTCACTCTTTATATATCCTTCTTCATTTATTGACACGGATTGTGTGATGAAGCATTGTCAACATGATCATTTTTCTATATCTACAGGTATAATAACTGCATTAACGTGGATTTGTCATCTAATAGCCTTAAATGATTCTTCTCTTTGTAGCTGCATTTCCCTCCATTATTCTCTGTGTCTCCCAATCGCTTCTCATCTGCTACTGTCTCCTCTCCTCTTTCCCCTTCATTTCCAGAGACAGATTTCCACTTACGAGACTGGGAAACTATCAGGTAGAGAGGTTCCACAAACCACCAGAGTGTAAGGTCTTCTGCAAAGAGCCCCATTCACCTGCTGTGGGTTAAAAAAAGGAAAGCAGCCTTACGTCTTTGAAGCCCGTCAAACCCAGTCACTCTCACTGTGGGGAGGGCATAATTGCATTTGAATTGAGGGGATCTGCGTGCATATCTCTCATGAACACAAATACAATAGAAACTAAGTACCTAAATTCCTCTGCTGAGAAAAGAGAAGTGGTCCCACTCCCAGCCTAATGTAAAGCATGGCTTCCTATACTTGAGTTAGACTTTTCATAACTGTTGAATATTAGCTTGTGAGTCGTTCTAGGGAGAGGTAACATCAAGGAAGAAAATGGTGCTCTATCTCCGTAAAGCATTTTAGCAATGCTCAGAAAAGTGGACTGCCAGACATGTATTTGGGAAATTATTTCGCCAGCTGTAATGTGTTTCCAAATTATGCATGTGTTGGTAGTCTTCCATTGTAATCACCACGAACACAGTACATCTTCATCTTTGCTGTATTTGGAATACAGGAAAATAAGTCAGCATTTTCTTTCATGGTAACATTTTGGTGCTAGCAACATTCACTTGTCTGAAAAGCATCCCCTGATCAAAACCATTGTTCATAAATGGGTGTCTGTTTGAAGAGTGCGTATATCCTAAAGATTGTTTCACTTAATTTGTAATTACTTCAAATGATTAAAGGGAATGTGAATGACTTACGCAATTTCTCAAAAGAAAAATATAAAAGAATGCCATACTATACATGAGTTTCACGAATTATCTACCAGCGATAAATAAATGACACGAGTTGATTATTGAACCCAAGCACTGTCATCTAAGTTATGTTTCTCTTTTACAAATTTGCTAGGGGAGAGAGACAGAGACTAAGAAGGAAAGTGAGAAAGCACTTGGTAGATGGCCACATCAAAATCCTTTCTCCTCCCTTCTCTTCCCTTCTCTTCTTGTGATTTTGGGCATGCACGCACATGCATCCGGTATGGTTTTCAAGTCTCCAGGTCAGGAACTAGAACCATGCAGTTGGCCATATGGGATCCAGCTGCCTTACCCACCATACCAGGGGCTGGCCCTAAATTGTTTCCATGTATTAAGATGTAGGTTACTGAACTTATCTGAATGCGATTCTATACTATCAATGTTCTTGGAAGTCTATGCTAAGACTTGAGAATTTTATTTTTAAGAGGATTTTGCTGTAGGGCTCATGTGCTCACCAGGGAGAGAGAGAGAAAGAGAAAGAGAGAGAAACAAAGACAGTGAAAGGGTAAATGAGAAATTCCCCCCAGGAGGGATGGCCACACCACAATCCTTTCTTCTCCATTCTCCTCCTAGGATCTTGGGTATACATGCACTTGTGCCTGGCATAATGTTCAAGTCACTGGATCTGGGACTAGAGCCGTGGTCAGACATGTGGGGGTCCAGTGACGTAACTGCTATGCCACCTGCTGGCCCCAAGATTTGGGACTTTCTCGAACGAGAGCATAAGAATAGACTGAAAAGATGGAGTTAGAAGCATGATGAGGACACAGAAGTGTAAAGTTTGAATGAATTATTACAGCACAGGCAGTCAGCTTGAACATATGAAAATGACTTTGAGCCTAAGAATGAACAGAAACTGAACTTTAAACTTTTCACGTATTGTTCAGTCATGTCGTGTTATTAGATATTTATTAGGTTCAGAGGCTTATTTGCCTGATATGTATTTTGTTACTTAAGTTCATATTTTATTTCATTGCTATGACCTGAATGATTGTACCCGCCTTCCCCAAATTCTTAGGTTGCTAACTTATCTCCAATGTGATAGTATTAAGAGGTGGGGCCTTTGGGAAATGGTTAGATCATGAGGGCAGAGTCACCCAAGGAAACCCATCTGCCTTTCCACCACAGGAGGAAGCGGGGAGAAGGTGCCATCTATGAATCAAAGTGTGTGTTCTTACTTGCTGGCACCTTTCTTGTGGACCTCCCAGCTTCTAAGACTGTAAGAAATAGATTTCTATTATTTATTAAGTCACCTGTCTATGGTAATTTGTTACAGCAGCCCGACTTGCACTAAGACACTGCTCATGGGCACTCTCCATGCCATGTCTA